TTTGTTTTCCTGACGTTCCGTTGGTCACTTGGCTGGTGACTACCTCGCAAGGAGTTGGCGGGGTTGAACTTTGGGATTTTCTTCAGGGATGGCTACTGTCGATGTCAAAGAGAAGGACTACGGGAAGGGAAGGTACGACTTTACAGCGGGGCCAACACAAAAAAATAGGAGTTATTGCACATGGAGTTGCTAAAACAGGCGGTCTAACAAGGGATCCTCGCAGGCTCGGAAGCGTCGGGGCTATGGTGCCGACTTGGAGGCCGGTCGGTTCGATCATGTATGTTTCGCCATGAGACACTGGACTCAACATGACAGAACTGCTACCAAAGTCGAGCGTGACCTAATCTTTTTTGAAAAGCTCTCCTCAGGGGCTGCATCCGTTCAGCCCACTACAGGGCTTCTTGGTGAAGACCCAGGAACGTTTGGAGCAGCGGGCTGCGGAGGCCGAGGTGCCTTGGTCCGTGGGAAATTGCCGAAATCAAAGGGCCCAGAAGTTCAGGTCCACGGTCTTCATTTGTCAGGTCTTGGAATCATTTTAGGGTTTTGTATTGAGGCTTAGGAGATGGTTTTGAAGGGGTTGGGATTGCGGGATGGCCCAAGATGTTACTTTGGTATGTTTTGGTTGTAAACATCCTCTTGGTTGTCGTCCTTCTTGTGCCCTTGTTTAGGGCATGGAACCCTGGGCAAGAGATGCTAACAAAGTGCGCGTGAGGCAGCTATTGCACAGCAGGAGGCTAACAGATATTTGGAACTGAAGGGGAGACACCATTCTTTTCTGAATGGATGAGCGGAAGTTTGTGATGAACTCAGCGGCCTTTGAGCCTAGGCCGCGGCCCTCCTGATGGCGCAGACTGCGCAAACATCGGCACCTGTGGCTCGTGCCACAGGTGGGGGCTGGCAAACCATTCAGCGTGCCCTTTCTGCGGCTAGGGACTGGAGTCGGAAACCTTCTACTTCTTTGCAAACGATTGAATCGACGGAACCAAACTTTGCTATTTTGCTGAAGCCGAGCCGGCTGTGGTTGGAATGTATGGAATGTGGGGAGTTCAGGTCTTGTTGAGTTTGATGGCTGGGTTGGTGCAGGCTCGGATCTGCGGTCTTTCATCTTAAAGACGCGTGAGCGCTTGGCTGAGCAGGCAGGACTGGGGACTCCGTTGACCACGAGCCTCGGTTGATCCCCAAATTAGGGCGTTCATTCGCCAAACTTTAAACTTGTTGGGGTAAAGACCTGGTTGCGGTGAAACTCAGGCGTTTCGAGGGAAGATGTTTGCAGATGGTTTTGGGACAAGGATTTGGGGCCGAATGCCCGAGAAGTGCTATGCCATGCCTTCTTGGAACCTTGAACTCTCAAACATCTCTGGCGACATTCTGAGGCAGCAGTGGCAAAAGCCGCCCAACGGGCCAAAGAAGCCAAGGCCGAGTGGGTTGGAGTGGGTCGTTTGAGTGGGTTGCTCGGTCGGAAGATGGGCATGGGCTTCGCTCCGCATGTGCCCAAGCCGCTGCGGAAGGGAAGAAACCTGTTAGGTGTTGCTACAGTGCTTGAGCGAACTTGTTGAGGGTCTACACTTCCTACGATTCGCTGTTTCTCACCTCAAGCCTAAGGCGGCAGCCCTTGCAGCCAGTGTGGACTTGGACACCTTCCGGAAGGAGTGTCAGGCGGAGTGGACCATGGGCTAGCTAGTTTGATGACCAAAGGAGTGCGACCTTTGTCCATGTGACCTAGTTTTCCGGGTAGATGGGCCTGGATGTGTAGATTGGTTTGTTTGGTTTCCTTGTGTGTAATTATTCAATGTTATATTATATGTAGTATATACTATATACTGTGCTTGTACATACATATTTAATGCACGTATATAATAATTTAGTATATTATACTAACATTATATATATATATAAATAATTGAGTATATTATACTAACATTATATATATATATATTGTACAGTATACTGCAAGTAAAGTCGTCTATTTTGCAGGCACTGATTGCATGGTGCCCCTGTTTTGTCTGGTGCCCTACAATCAGGATGTGAGTCGTGAGTCATGCATTTCATGCCGAGATTCTTGACCCCTAGCCCTAATCCAAGCGTGGTGATGGACGAATGCCAAGTCAACCTTGTTCACCCTTTCTCGATCCTCTGGTTCAACGCAAGCACAGGGTGATTTAATCGAATCTCTCGACCAAAGGAATCATCACCAGTTTTGACCAACTCTATGGATTGAGCCACCTCAGAAGGTCCTCCAATCACCCAGCCCATTCACATGCCAAATCATCCTTTCAGAGTGTATGTCCATCCCAAGGCAATGTGTCTTTTCTGAACATCTCGGATGCTGCGATCACAGGCACGCATTGCCCAAAAGCTTTTGTCCAAGATACCGCAGGTGAGGCGCTGAGCTCTTACACGTGAGGCGTTCTACCGCGGACCGTAGAGTCCCGAGCGCTCCAAGGATTTACCTACCGGGAGGACCTGGTAAATGGGTCCAAGTGCCTGTCATTATAGGGTCATGTCACATGCTCCATTTTCCTAGAGCAGTTTGCTTGGAGGGTCCAGGTAATTTGATTGACGGATGTGTTTGTTTGGTTGACCCGATGCGTGTGTTGGTCCCAAGCAGACGATTGACTGCTTATCAAGGAGCCCGAAGACCAAGGTTTTGGCACCAGGGATGGACTTTGGCCATTCTCAGCCTGAGCAAGAGCCCGGTAGCAGCTGTTGCACCAAACGAAGCGGAGCAGGGTGCGGTGAGCGTTCCTCTCAGAGATGAAACGGTCAGACGTTGCAGCGATCCACGAGGTGAGAACGGGCCAAGTGACTGGAAGCGAGGAGGGGTTGGGGGAAGGCTTGAGGAAGACAAGACGCTTGTGATTTCTTGAGTTGCACTCCAGCTCACATCTCTGGGAGACTAGGTTCCTTTACTGTTCTTGCCATGGTATTGCAATCGATGTGGGGGTGAGAGGACCACCCGACAAAAAGCAATGTTGTAAGTTCCTTGAGCCATTACAGAAAGATCCAATCATTTTGATGAAGATTGACACCAGATTTCATGTGACTTTCACGTGCTTTCACTACAGTCATGTGAATTCATGTGATCCAAGAACTTGCCAGGAGAGCCTCTTCCAAAGGCGAAAGATTGCTATCGTTGGGGTTTCTTGGTCGAAGGAGCTGAAGGAATAAACATATGTTTACTGTAGTTTCCCTAAAAATCTAGGAACCAAATGAATAGCGCGGGCGCTTCTTCAAGCGTTAGTAGCCAGGACCGAACAAGTTTGTTCCTTGCTTAATGAAGTAGGCGCCTACTTAACTAAGTAAGGAGGCAAGGCCACGGGCCAAAAACGCTATTAGGTGCTCCTGGCATCGCTACTAGGAGCAAGGACGCTACTAGGGACTCCTGGCCTTACTACTACCAGGAGCAAGAAGCTACTAGGGGCTTAGTGAGCCGTCTTTTTCAATGGGGAAGGAGCCAAGGACCCAAAGGAGCCGAAGTCGAGTTGCCATCGACGCTGCGGGTTTGGTCATGCTGCGGTCGACTGAGCGGTTCATGGGCCTCGAGGGGCTTGGGATGGAGCTTCAAGCGGTGTTTTTGGGAATGAACAAGTCAAGCTCCTCCAACAACCATGTCTCTGCTATTCAACCCCACAGTCGAACCTTCTGAACATTTTGCATCACCCAAAGGCATCCAAAAGCTGCGTGAGCACCTGCAGCTAATGAGTGCCAGCCAGCCTTTTGATGTTGGTAGGTCAGGTACAGTTGAGGATGGAGATTTGCGGGGCTTGACTCAGACCAACATGCCACCTTCCACTGGCCATAGTGTGAAAATCAGTGTTTTGGCACCTAGGCCTAAACATAGGTTCGAGTTTGGAAAACGTAGCAGTCGGGAAGACATCATATGTGAATCATCATCGTCGTCGTCGTCCTCCTCCTCCTCCTCTTCCTCCTTCTCCATTGTGAATAGGATCTCCCCTTTCTGAGTGGGCCATTCCCGTCGTGAATGTTGGTTCATCGAGGAGGAATCCAGCCGCTGTAAAACTCCCTTGCTTGGCTTCTATAGATGTGGCGGTCGGTCGATACCAAACACCTGAAAAGCATTATGTCATATGTAATATTATACAATATAGCCCTGCCTGGCAGTCCATGTTCTCCCTTTTCAGGGTCTTCCGGTCTTTCCCGAGGATGTCTGGATGCCATGACCCTGGGCCCCTTCTGGGTCAAAACAGCTCGTAAAAGCAGCCAGAATTCTGAACTCCGGGCAGTGTATGGACATCCTCCAACAACTGGATTTTTGTTGATCTGTCCCTTTCCGGGGGTCCTATTTCAACACATACCCGTATAAATTCCGAATTAATATGATTAAATTCTAGATGTACTTCTGCCCAGCCTAGTCGCCCTTACTTAATTAAGTAGGGGGGAGCGGGCCAAAAGAAGAATTGTACCGGGTTTTCTTTTTGGGGCAGTGCTCTGCATCGGAACCCAGGCAGGTCCTGCGGGCCTCTGGGCGGCCATGTTGCTGGCACAGAAGGAGGGGACGTCGCGGAGCGGCCACGGACTGGTCGGCAAGGGGGTGAAGCGATGTGAAACGTGTTGTTATCCAAAGGACTGGAACTGCATGCAGGGTGGAGGCAACTGATTAATGAATATAAAACATACTTTAAAAATATATACGATGATAAGATCAAACCAAAAGGACTTGCATCTGGAGAGGTAGCAATGGTCGTCCTGCATTGTTGGCCATGCAGGGTAAACTCAGTTGGCAATTCACTGACCCCTTCGCCTTCTTAGAGTAACAAGAAGCTATTAGGGGCTCCTGGCATCGCTACTAGGAGCAAGGACGCTACTAGGGGCTCCTGGCCAGCAAGAAGCTACTAGGGGCTTAGTGAGCCGTCTTTTTCAATGGGCTCGGATCTGTCCCTTGAAGCAATTGAACAGCCACCGCAGCCCGTTGCGCAGTATCGCTGGACGGACCCAAGTGGCATGCTTCGCCCCCGGCCAGATGCGCCGGAAATTGCCAGATGGCCCAGATGATGGTCTCACAGCTAGAACTGGGATGAACTGGGAACATGGAAGAACTGGATCAACACCAACCTAATCGTCTTCGTGCTACAACCTGTGTATTTTCCCGAGCCATGGACAGGGAATCCGGTCATCCATAGCTGGCGGCATAAGCCATGAGGCCAATCCACCAAGGACCCACGATGCACTTCCGATGCGCCCTCCACGGGAGTTTTTCAGCCTCGCTCATTTTGAGTCGCAAAGCAAACATGGAAGTGGACAAGCCTCCGTTTGTGGAACAACCATCTCCCCAGGCCATTTTCGAATTCCAGTGATGTGTTCGACGTAATGAGTGTCTTGAGTCAAGACATGTTTTAAGTTTCGACATACCCCATGGTGGCCATGGTGCATGGTCGATTGAGGATCCTAAGCTCCTGGTATCGGTCATTTCTCGAGTGTTTCTGCTGCGAAACGGCAGAAAGGCAGAACGGGTGGACCTGAGAAACTCGACAAGTGCTCACGCGAGTGACTGAGGTTGTCATGGAAGCGAGGCATGGCAGTGATGGTGGTCTTTGCGTGTCCCAAAGACTTCCCCTCTATAGATCTTGACCTTGATTAGATATTCCTAGAGTCTTGCAATAGAATCTTGGGGAAGGTGTTCATCTAGGCTCACTGCTTTAACCACCTATATAGCTGGTTGGTTGGGGAAAGATATCAAGGGCCCACCATGTGGTAGAGGAAGTGCCCCCCACCCACATTGTTGAGCTTTATTTCTTCCAGTGGAAGCTAAGAAACGGATGTACGTAGCGTAAACTTAAAGGCTATCCAGCGGGCGTTGAAAACAAGGGGTTGAGCTCCCAGAACTCTCTCACGGGGTTTGACTTTCGTCCATCTACGGTGGGCAACCGTCCTTGGAGAGATCAGGCAAGACATTTCTTGTAGACTTGCATCAGTGGTTGCAACATACAGGATCTTGAAAGTGTTTTCGAGGAGCCTCATGCAAGACAGACACAATGGCTGCAAAAAGTAGAAGACGAGCCACTTCTAGGACTTCTAGGATTCTAGGATCAAGAGGCTGAAGATGTGCACGAGTGCCAACTAATCCAAATAATTGGCCATCACAAGGCTTATAGGAACCTGTACAAAGGGGCTTGTGTTGCCTTCAAGGATGCTCTTGGACTTCCAAGACCTCCGAAGTATTTCCTACAGTCCCTAATTACAGGCTATCTCTTGCCTGAGGTCCTTTTGGGTGTTTCTTTTTCCCCAAACAGTTTACTGTGGGGTTATCTTTAGGAAAAAAGGGACGGTCGCGATAAACCTTGGCCGCGCCTTTGTCACTCTGTGTCATGTGTCCGTGATGTGTTTGCTCTTTGTCCGCCTTTAATTGTGAGTGTCTTTGTATAGGCTTTGGCCGCGCCTTTGTCCGCTCTGTGCCCGCCTTTGTCCGGATCGCTGCACCTTGCCTGCTCTTGTCCGCCTTGGTCACCTTTGCCTGGGTCGGTCTGTACAGAAGGTGGCTGCACATTGTTCTACCCTTGTCTGCCTCAAAGCTTCGCCACGCATCTGGACCCTGTCTGTTTTGCCAGTCTTACAGAGCTTGTCCAATCAAACTAGTTCTTGTCCTCCTCTGCCCGTTTTTTAGATAGAGTTTGTCTGCGTTTCGTTCGTGTCTGAGTCTTTGTGTATAGACTTCTCCGCGCCTTGCCCGTTTTTGTGTTTGTCTTTGTGTTGCCCTTGGGCACCCCTTAACCGCCTTTGTCTGGGCCTTTGCCTATATCGGATGCCCGCTTCTATTTCATGACATCATTATGATTCTTTAAATAGGGCGTTTGCAAATGACATTTCATCCTTAAAGACTGTTTGGGGTCTATGCTGGTGTAATTTACAGGTCCCTTTAGATCACATCATCTATCAGTCCGCTCCTCCACTCCATTCGCGTCGTGTTTGGCAGGTCTATGGCGAACCACTGCACCCGCACGGATATCAGGCGCGACGCTGCACAACGCGACGCCATTCAACGTAGCATCAGTAGCGTCAGCAGCAGTACTGCGACTCCTTGGGGATATGGTTAAGACTACCCGTCACATCCCGTCACCCGGCGCCCGGGGCAATCCAAATCCATCCGGATTCCTTTGGATTAATTTTACATTCCCAAAACAGTCAAGCGACTCAGATGGCACGTGCCGTGGTGCCGTGTCCGAGGATCGCTCTCTCCTCCTCGACCCGGTCCATGCCGGTCAGCTTAGCACATCGTGGCGACTGAAGGTCAGTGACGGTCAGTGATGGTCAGGGCGTGGGGCGCTTTTTGCGCTTTGCTTGTAAACGCTTGCTACAGAGACGACTACATGTTGCAGGTCGCCGGCTGTCTTACATAAGCGCTGGCTTCACTTCACCAAGCTTTCTTACAGCTACAACACAGGGACAGCCTCAAGCGTGCTGAGCCAGTCCAACCAGTTTGTGTTTGCAAATTGCTTTTGAGCATGTTCAAAACTTGTGACTGATTGAAGGCAATCTTCGCTGCAGCAAGACAGAATCCAGCAAGTGACATTAGTGACATGATGTTGTGGTTTTGTTCTTGTTGTTTCTAACATCCAACACTGGGAAGTGGGCTCAGCAAGCTTGCCCAACTCCTTCGACCAATCTCCCTCGAAAATGCCTATCAACATCAGGACAGCCGGACACAGTGGGGGTCCCTTCCGTGCCCCTTGTTGAGGAAACGGATCTGACAATGATGCCAACTCATCACACTTTGCCTTGGGTTCTTGCAAGCCTTTGGTTCCACCTCTTCTGATTCATCTCCAGGGTGATCTCGGACCCGTGATGGTCCAGGAATGTGCAGGTTCATCATGCTAGGCCAATGCTCCCTCTAGCTCCCTGAAGATAGGGTCAAGAAAAGGTGGTTACCAGGCCGTTGCTGGCGGGTGGACAACCCATTCTATATATCCATGCGCTAGTACATCTAGACAAAGAGATACAAAGGGTATTCTTTAGTTTTTTAGGCTCCCACACTGGTCCTTGGTGCTTGGCTGGGCCAGACTCTGGTTCGCACGAAGCGCCTCACTCACCCCACCTGAGGTTGGATCAGCAGACACGTTCCAGGAGTTTCACCTCTGGAATGCCCCTGGCAGAGATCGAGGAGGGGTTGTTACAATTTTTTGTCGAAAGCAGAGCCTGGCTGAGACGACCTACAATCCCCCATAGCACTGGACATCTCCTGACTGGCAAGTCATCGGGGAGCCTCCAATTCCCACTTCGCTGACGGAGGAATCTCTTGAGCCCCAATGCGGAGACCCTTGGAGACCCTTGGATGAGGGATGCTTACTGTAATACTATATCGACTATGCTGTTTATACTATCAACTGTTCCCCCAATTGGCCCAAAGGACATGAGCTTGGTGAGGACCGCGGAGGTCGTTCATTCTTGGATCATCCTTCAGGGCGTTGGGGTCAAAGTGATTTCTAATCGATGTTCCTTTTCGTGTGGGCTGTGCGGGCGAGTTCCAGGACACGTTCCTGAGGCGTTGGAAGAAGGCGCGGCTTGCAGGTTTGTAGCAGCATTAGCACATGGCAGTGACACACCCTTCTCAACACTCTTAGCGTTCAGTGAGACAATGTGGGTCATTTTCAAAACGAGGAGTTGCAAAAGGCCATGGCTACCCAGTTCTGCCCAACTCTGGCATACCCAGCATTTCTTCGAGCATTTGGGTTTGGAAGCTTCCCTTCCAATGAGGGGGACACATCCAAAAGGCTGTTGTTTTTCACTCCTGGCTTTGCATCGGTTGCTGGAAGAGATCAACTTTGAAAAAGCCGACCAAGCCTTTCTTTCAGACATCTCGGTGCACGGGATGACAGTTGGACTTCCAATTCAGTAGCAACTTTGTTTTAATGGTTGCTTTGATCATTCTAATAGCCTGAAAAAAACACCTCTTGCAGAGTTGGGTACTTGTACTCAGCTGAGCTGGTAGGCTGCTAGCTCCTTGACCTTTTACTTTGGTGATGACTCTACCGTGTGACAGGGTTCCTATGATGAAGCTCCTGGCTTTCAACTCAGGATTCGTTTTCATGAACCCGGGAACCCGGAGCTCAGAACTTGAGAGCTCCTCCAGCAATATATATATATATATACACATGTTTTGAGCAGTCTTGCCTGCAGATCAAGCCAGGTGCATTCTGATTACTGTACATGGGACACAAGATAATGTAGCTTTATGCATTTGGCAACATTTTGCTGCATGCGTGGAGGCCGCGGTTGTGGGTGGACACCTGTTTACTAGCAGGATGCGCTAGGATCACACGACTCACTGGACACCTTGGGGGCAAGGCACTTATATGAGGGAGGGGCTGAATTGTGAAGTTGTGAGTTGTGAGCTGCAATCAAATGAATCTGTAAGTAGCAACCTCCAGAGTGGCAAAAATCACGGATGGAACTTATCTCGTCTAATCGGGTGACCCAGTGTCAGGCACGCAGGGGCCCCTTAACACCAAAGCCAAAGAGTGTGCTTCTCCAGGTCGAGGTTTCTGGGAAGCCGACAACTTCTGACATACTAGGTTGGAGGCCATCGCTAGTATTGTGGAGGTCATGCTAGTATTGTGGAGGCCTTCGCTAGTAGGGCCAGTTCCATAGGTTGGATGGGTCGAAGCTGCACCATCCGCGGTGATGGATCCGACATCAGGCCACATGAGGCCACTCACCCCGTCCAGGTGGCCGGCCATGAAGCCAGGATCTCGTACGAGACGCCCATCCAGGTGGGGTTGTTGCGACTGCCGTTTCAATTTGGGTTGGAGGAGTGACATTTGGTTTACTATGCCCAACGTGAATCTGGTGGTGAAAGACAATTCTTGGACCGTTTTGCTCAAACTGGTAGAGGGATACTGAGTGACATGAACCCCATTTATATCCCAGACCTTCGACATCACAGTTCTGTATTGCAGCCACTTGTTTCGAAGCACTAGTGTTGATGGATCAATCCTGCAACACCCAGCATAACCAAAGCACGAGAATTGTGGAGTTTTTCTCCATCCAAGGTGATGCAGGATTTTGTCCTACAGTACGGGCAACAACATGTTTAAACAGTCGGGCTGTCAACCTGGTAGTGTTTTTCTGTTTGTGTAGTGGTGTAGGACAGCTTCATGTTGTTTGTGGGGTGCATAATCATTTTTGCACTTATTCAAAGTTTGTGCGCTCGCGGCCCATACAACCTTCCACAACCGGGGGCTGGTCCCTGTGAGCCTCCGTCCCCCATCACCTCCGACCCTGTCACTGGCTTGTGCACGCCGCACGCCTGTCTGTGAAGATCCAGGACCCCAAAGAACTGAAGTCTTATGACCTCATATTATGGGGTGCTGGAAGACGCTCCTTAGATGAGGCGAGGGCACACCAAGATGGTGACCGGTGGAAATCGAGTGACATCTTAAGTGAATGAAGTTGCCGTGAGATGTTGGGAACAGCTATGCATTCTTGTGTTTCTTTGTCTCTGATAGAGTCTGATTCTTGTAGCGGGCACTTTGTGAATATGTCCAAAGTAGCTTTGTACATCGCAATTCAATTACATAAGTCGTTCCGAAGCCTGTGCCGCGTGCCGCGGGAGGCCCTGCGAAAGGAGCTTGGTTGCGAGGCAAGGCGATGACTCCAGGGGGAATGTTGGGAAGGAAGAGAAAGAGCGTCTGAGGAAGGGGGAACTTGTGAGTGCAAGAGACCGTTTCAGGGCTCGATGTATCTCGATGTTCTTCTTGGACATAGGCACCATTGAGCAAGCCCAGGTCTGCAGCAGCCCAAACCTCCTATGGAACAATTTGAAGAGAGATTATGGAAGATGCCTTTGCATAAACACACAGGCGCAAAAGATGTTGCAGACTTTTATGCACGAAAGGTTTGACTTCTGTCCGCAACAGCATCCGAAAGCGGTTTTGCACAGACTGCATGGCGCGAAAGCCAAATCGCAAGCTGCGAAAGTGTTGCGAAAGGAACTTGCAAAAGAAAGAGCCCATTAGAACCCATTCGCGGCAGGTTTTGAACCTGATCTGGTGAATTTATCAAAAGAAGTGCGACCGGTCTCGGAGATTCGGAGCCTTCGAGTCTGAGGAAGGGAAAGAGCGACCACTTGTTTTGTGTGACAAAATGAAAGGCCACGACCTTAGGAACCCATCTGTGACGAATCCTTTTTTGGTTTGTACAGGATGGAATCCTGAAGACAAAGTATTTGTCGCAAATCAAATTCAAAATGAACGGCATCGTCTAACGGCTGTCAAATGGTTCATTTTTCAACTTTTCCTCATCCTCGGTGGGGGAAGGGGAAGATGTATGGACGTGGCTACCTTTGTCAAGCTTGATCCCAGAGCCACAAACACCCAAGACCAAGAAGCACCTGGTGTACTTTCCATAGAGAGTCTTCTGGAAGTGGACAAGAAACGATGGACAATACCAGAAACCGAGTTCTCATGGGATTCTGTGGGATTTCTACAGCCCTCTCCTGGCACCAAGTTCTCCCCTTCGTCTCAGGTGAAGATCGGTGACAGTCAGAAGGTCATTGTCTTCCAGGTCACGCTCCCTCACGAGGGCTTCGGAGCGGTCGAGGGGGCAGATGTTTCCATCAATGCTCTTCCTCCCTGAGGTGTGTAGGGTTGTTTGGGCAGGTGATGCCTCGGACCTGATGGTGCTGGAAAGATCTGGAAAGTGCCAAAGTGCATTCAGTTCTGATAGGCCTCTGGCAGCTCATCAAAGTCAAAACTGTACAAAGGTTGAATCGTTTGACGAGGTTGTAGACACAAACATCCTACTTTGGTGGTTGGCGGCACCAGCTTTGAAGGAACTGATGCCCGACCTTAGGGTTCTTAATATTCTTTGGGGCGGATGACAGCCGTGCAGAAGAGTTCCATGGATTTGCAGACATGGCAGACATAGCATTAACTGAGAGTGTGAGAGGCGTGCATGTGGCTGAACAACAATAGCATGTGCAAGCATGAAGACTGGATTTAAACAAGCCATCAAGTTCCCATAGATTGCCATAGATTGTCGAACATCCCCTCAACATTAGGCCACCATTCAGTCTGGTGAGGGCAAACATCCACAAGTGCCTTGAGGTCTTAGAGTTGCCGGGCGATGCCTGGCAATTGGGCAGCTGGTGGTCCCAGCAAGGGGAAGTGAGTCAGGCTTAGATGTGGCGGACTTGGGATGGTGGATACAGAGGTGCGTTGGCACGTTGGCATTACAATACCTTTAGGTGCCCTCCAGTTGCATTGGCATGTGCTGGTATGACTTTGCATGTACTTTACGGCTGACACGGCCCTGATGTGTTGGGATGATGCAGCAGCACCTTGGGTGGTTGGACACTCTCTGGAGTCAGCGTAAACGGTTTCTGGGGCAACCTGGATATCCACAAACGAAACCACGGGTGTTCCCCACTACGCTGATTTCAGAGATTGTACCTGCTGCAAATTCAAAAGAAACATGGAGCCATAGACATAGACCCCTTTGGCAAGCAGCCTTCAACATGTGCAAAGCAGCTGTGGAAACACATGCGCCTGAACAAAACCCCTGCGATTAGGTGTAGTCTGTGACCTACCTTAGCTTTTGGCTGAAGGACTTTTGGAGGCGGCCCGTGCGGCAGGACGATCTTGACCAAACACTCTTTTTTGGTGGGAACGATACCGACGATACCCATCTCTTGAGCCTGTCATGCCGCAGGTGCGGTGTTTCTCGAAGACCCATCAACACTCAGAGAGCAGATGGTCCACCGTCCACTTTGGCGAAGCTTGCGTTCTTGAGGCCTGGACCTCTCAGGTGCCACAGTCTCACAGGTGCGGTCGCCACATCGCAGCCCCCCTCCGGGAGGGGATGAATGGGGATTCTAACTGGAGGGGTTGAGACAGACTAGGGCAGATGGCGAGCTTTTTTGGCTGGATCAGACAATGGCGATAAAGACAGGCTTCTGGTATCGTGGTGATGGCGCATTGTTGATTTGCTGTAGGATTGTTTTCCGAACCTAGGGATGATGTCAATGGGGTCCCACTTGGCAAGTGATGACTGGCTCGGCTGGTAGGACTTGGGTTCAAACCTGATATTGTATACAGCACTGGAAGGATCTGACCCTGCAAAACACAGAAAGAAACCTAGCATACGAGATTGAAGCACCTCCAGATAAACAAAGCATCTGAACGCAGGAAAAGAGCCTCAAAAGGTGGCCAGTCCATAGCCTTCCAGCGGTTCCTTGGTTTTCCCAGTCCGTTTTCAGCTACTGTTTAAGACCATCCAGTCGATGAATGTGCGATGTGCAGGGCGGCCGGCCATTGCGGGTGATGCTGCGTCCAGGGTTCGAGGGCGCCTGCGCCTGCTGGTGGGGTTCACCCAGAAACCAAGGTAGGGTGAGGGGCACATGATCTATGCTCAAGGCGTTTGGTTGTGTCAGACTCCGTCCAGCAGCGTGGCAAAGTCCATGACCGACGGGCAGTGCAGAATTATACACGAGCATGTTCCAACTAAGGATACGTTTGAGGCAAGTCCAATGGTTCACAAGTCCAATCCTTTATGTGCAGGTTCGATGTTCCAGCCATTGAGATCCATTTGGGAAGAAAGAGCGCAGATTTCCAACCCGCAATGCGTGATTACAAGATTTGGCAACCAATTTTGTTTGCAGCAAGCAGATTCCTAGGAATGAGTGAGATTGAGTGAGTACGAGATTTGGCAAGCAACCTTTTCTGCAGCAAGTATATTCCTAGCCAGTGGTCAGCAATCAGCAATCCGTCAACAGCAGTTTGCATGGGAGTTGCAGCTTGTTGACCTCCCATGTTGAAGGGCCCAGAAGGCCTCACCTCTCATCCCATGGAGAGTGGGATTGCCCACAATGTCTCTGGAGACTTAAGTACTCTCCACTGTCAACTAGATAAGAGGATAGGCTGGCTGGGACGCCTGAAACCTCTGAATCGAATGCCCTCTGATCAAGTTCAGCTGGGTAACTGGGATGGCCTGCCAGGACCGGCCAGGGACAGGGCCAACAGGGATAGGGACACGAGTTCACGAGTTCACCACTGCGTCACTCCGAGGCTTTGGGTCTTTGGACTGCCTGCGGATTTGTTGAGCTCCTTAACTCCGAAGCAGGCCACAGATTCCCGCAGCCTGTGACTTGACCCGGCAAAAGGTGGTCAAATTGGTGGTCAAAACCGGACCTTGGTTGAGCCTCCCACAAACACGGACCACCACGATACAGAATATCATGCAATGGCAGGATCAGGGCTTGAATGGCGTAATTCTTATTGCCGGTCAAGGTTGGATCCGGGACCTTGATCGGCTAATGTCGCTCTCGACATCTCTCGGAGCTTCGACATCGACACCGCTTGATCATCTCGTTTCCATTCAAAGACTTGGTGAGGTGCCAGTCTATTCTGGCCAAGGGCAGGAGTGAACCAGATGCTTGTAAACAGGCAGTCGTGCTTTCGGACGGCACCTGACACTGGGTCACCCGATTAGACGAGATAAGTTCCATCCGTGATTTTTTGCCACACTGGAGGTTGCTACTTACAGATTCATTTGATTGAAGCTCACAACTCACAACTTCACAATTCAACCCCCCCTCATATAAGTGCCTTGCCCCCAAGGTGTCCAGTGGGTCGTGAGTGTTCTATGGACTTGCGGGGCTGAACTTGTGGGTCGTGGTGATCTTCTTACCAAGCCTCGTCGTGATCTTCTTCATATTGCAGTTGACTCGTCGTACCTCAACTGATCCGGCGTCAACTTTTAGTCCATCATTGACGCCGCTATGGAACATGAGGCACCCTTTTGAGGGACTCCGTCGGCATTGCTGAAGACACCTGTTTCTACATGTTTCATCATGTTTCGACACATATATATATATATATATAGGGTTGACGGACAAGGTCCCGCTCTACTGATTATATATGGATATTACATAATCTGAGATACACAGTCGGTGGGAAGGGCTTCAAAAGGCTTTCAGGATGTTCTGGATGCTTGGTGGACCATTTGATCGTGCTTCGCAAGGCCTCCACCGTGCCTCGTGATAGCCTGATCGAGGCCTTTGAGGATGGGGTTGAGGTTATCCAAAACGGGCCATTCTTGCTTGTCCCCCCAATCACTTAAACCGGCCAGTTGAGGACCCTGAAGAAAGCTTGACGATTCCAGAGGATTCCCACATAGTTTTCTTGGCAGGACCTGGTGGGCGACTCCGGGATGGCTCTAAGGCCATCATTGGAGGTGCCATTGCGGTCGGGATCGACCAGTGCCAGATGAGTTCACTCCGTGCTTGGTCGCTTCCCCACTCTTCAGACCCATCTGAAAGGCATCCATGATCCGTAACCAAGATCCGGTTTATGAATATCAGGTCTGGAACCCTAAAAAGATTGTTTTCTTTGTTATTTTTTTCACGTCCCTTTGAAGCAACTTTGGATCTTTCAAAGGGGCAATTGTAAAGTTAAGATGAACTTCCTGTAGATGATTATATACTTACTCTCTAAACAAACCTACTCTCACTGGTGTTTGAATCTTCAGTCCCAGTCAGCTGGTAGGTTTTCATGTTTGTCATGTTTGTCACAATTGCTCGTATCATGGACACAAATTCATTTTACGAAAGTGCTTGCAGTTGATTCTTTTGCGGAACGCCCGAAACACCGCGAATAGACTCCCGCGAACACCTTGTGAGGGCCGAAATGCCATTGTTTGGATCAGTTTATATAGATAAGTCAGTAGAACCACGTCTCCAACCTACTAGCGATGGCCTCCAACCTAAGAGCGATGGCCTCCAACCTACTAGATGGCCTCCTAGCAAACATTTTTTGAAATGATCATTCAAGATTCCTGGTGAGGCCTCCTGCGGTTTGTAGATCTTCATCGGACAAAGTTTGGCCAAGAACTCTGTTGCAGATTAAATCGACTGTAATCCAAAACACCGTAATTAATCACCATCATGAGCAACCAATAGGTTCACGCGATCCCATCATTCATCAATCAGTGTGGCAGAACATACCCCAAGAGAAATTTGATTCCCCAAAAGTTGCCCCAGCAGTTGGTCACATTAGTTGGCCACCCTCGCCATGCAACTGATATGGAGCGCTCCCGGCGCCGCTGGCTGACGGGAAAGGCACGAAGAGCGTAGAGCCCTAGCGGTTTAAGAGGCTCTCTGCCTGTGTCGTAATTTGATGCCTTTCTTGAATGGTCTAGGACTTATATAACACAATTTCAACATACATATTGTCTTGAAGCAGAAATTGCTTCTTTGTTTCATTTGCACAGCAAGATTGCTGGAGTGCAACGAGCTTTCTTGTGTGAGCCGATGTAAGTTTTTCCACCCTAACACTGCCAAGCGACAAAGAATTCTGTCAAATGTGATCATTAGGCCCATTGCTTGCCAACCGTCCAGTGCACCAGGTCATCGTCCCCTGGCGCGAAGCCACGGAGTTGCCACCCCTCGCGAAGTCCCGGCGGCCTGGGGCGACTTGGACTGAAGGGATTCGAAGAGGCATTTGTACAGTGAGATCTGCGGGAGGCAAAGAAGCAAAATCTTTGGAGCCACAGCCACATGGGGTTGATGAGTTGTTTTGAGTTACTGTACATAGTTGGGTGGGCTGAAGTAGGTTGGTTGGTCAAGGCCCTCGAGGCTCTGAAGTTATTGACGGTTCTGCCACAACAGACCTTGGAATTGTTCGATCTCCGCTTATCCTGGGCCGGGGGCAAAAGCTTCTAGAATAGTGAGGGATGGAAGGAAAGACGCCCGGACACTTGTGAACTGTGACAGTGACAAGAGTTTGAACACTCTAACGTTCATCCCCTTAGCATCTACGATTCTGTCACCGTCACCGTGGAGTTTGGGATCCTAACATGACCGTGGGAGCCAGAGAAAAGCTCTGACCCAAATGGATGCAGCTTGCACCCAATTGAATGGAAACACCCAAATCTGAGGCCAACAGTCCCGCACCAGGAGAGCAGAGCCCATGGGAGGGGCTGTTGAATCGGCTTTATTTATGGATGAGTGATACAGCGTTCTGAGCGAAGACCCGCGTCACACAATCTGTGAATTTGGGAGTTCCCACTTAGCAATTTCAAAGTCAACATGGATATAACTAACACGGTTTTAATTCATTTTCCAGGCAAGTCCTCCATCAGAGAGGATTTGGTTCGCGACTTGAGTGCTTGAGCCTCTACTGACGTGTGTTACATAAACGTTGATTTCAGAGTACCTTGCACAAAAGGTCATTTGTATTTGGGGATGCTTGCAATTGACTCCTGACAGAGCAATCGATCAACCAGCCAAGCATAGTTAGGTGCAGCGAGAACGAAATGAGTTTTGCACGTTTTCCACGTCGTGCTGCATGAGTATACTTGCAGATCCCTCAATCAAAGTAAAGGTTGAACTAGGAATACCTAGCTTTTGACTGGCTCACTACTGTATCGCCGCCAAGCCGCCAAGTTTTTATGATACACTTCTCACTTCTCCCAAAGGGATCCTACAATTAATTGCATTTGTGTCTGTGAATCTGACAATTTTACTGGTTCAAGCCTTAAGCATAACCATGGCATAACCCATTGCAGCCTGACGACGATGGGGCTTCACCACTGACTCAGCTAGTCGGGTGAACACGCTTCGTGGCTGCAGGAGCCTTGCGGGAGAAGCTCGCCAGCTACCGTCGCTGTTTGGAGCTCAAAGCCATCCAACGCTCAGTAGGCGCGCGAGGGTCAGCTGGGAATGCCCTTTTCAGAATGTAAAGGCACTTGGCGTGGGACTGGTTGGGGCGGCCTATTTAGTCTTCAGACCATATATATATGATTATATGAATATGTATATTTATAAATACCACGCTCATTATAAGTCTATAGCGATGTACGCATGCAAAATTTGGCTCTGGCTATATAGTCATCAGACAGGGGCGGTCACTTGGATTCAACAGGACACCCATGCATTTGCGTGACAGGCTATGGCAAGATTGTAAATTTAGCATGCATGATCATCAGCCAGATTTTGCAAACTGATAAGCTGCAAGATGGTCAATCAGAACGTGTTTGCAGGTGATCCTTACTTGCAAGCTTTCTCTGTGGTTCCAGGGCCTTGCTCTCAGGCTTCATTAAATGCCATTTCACACCACGACCAACTGGTCCCTGTTGCGAATTCGGACCTGTTGGTGGGTCTGACCGTGGTGGGCAGTCTTGGGGGTCAAATTCAGACGGCCGGATTTTGGATTAGGATTGAAGACCCCAAAGCAGACTGGCGAAAGTGTTGGTCGACCTAGCATGTGGCAGGTGGCCTTTCTTCTCTTCTTCCCATGAGTGTAGGACATTTGGGAGCTTTGCGCAGGTTGATTGAGGGTTCCAGTCTTCTTTGTGCTGCAGACGAGTGAGGCCGTTTCCGCTAAGGCCAAAAGGCACGCCGATCCACAGCTCGGCGGGCGTCCGCCGCCCGGACCTGCACCGCGTGCGTGTCGCCGCGGCTCGCGCGCAGCAGCGCTGGAGCACGCCCTCGCCGGGCAGCGCAAAGACCACTCGGCCCAGCTGCGATGGTTGAGGGACGTTTGAGACCTCGAGGTCCTGAAGCAGTCTGGATGTTTGACCTTTTAGCATGTATGACATGTATGACTTCTTGAACGTGATGAGATGACCTGTGGGGTGTGTAGCGGTCGCCATTGAGATGATGTCTAACACATTTTCAATCGGAATGCACTTTTGTTTGGCCATTACATGTCATTGGGCTATTTTGGTGCCACTCTATTCGTCCTCCCACCAGTGAAAAGCCTTGCTTGTGTACAGTGTTTGGTCAAAGAGTGCCAGGCCCAACACCCGTCAGACAGCGTCGGAGGCATCTCGCGTTTCGTCGCAGCTGCGAGGGAGCAGGGTCGGGCCCCCCTTGCATGAACCCGGTCTGAAGGTTGACGGGTTCCGTCGCGTTCACCCAGAAAGCAAGGTGGGGGTCAGCTGCAGGGCCTGGAGGGAGAAAATTCAACAGCCAGACATAGCCAGACAGCAAACACTTTCTTGCTAGAGTCCTAGAGGAATCTGTTCGCCAGTTTGTTTGAAGATATACCTTCCTTCATCTTCCTTCGAGAAGGCTCGTAAAGAGTTGCCGAAAGATCCGAACATTCTGAATCATCCAAAGTGAGATCACCATAATTCACCATACATTTATAAAGAAACTTTCATTGGAAAGAGCATGTTTTCTAAATTTAAAAAACACGTCAAAAAAAATCAAAGTCAAAAAACGTGAAATCAGACAATTTCAGAAAGTCAACAAAAAGTCAATTTGTCCAGGTCCGACTTTTTTTGACCCTTTTTCGACTTTTTTTTTTTTTTAAACATTTTTTTCGACTTTTTTTTTGACTTTTCTTTTTTTCGACTTGTTTGACTTTTTTTTTGACTTTTTCGAGCTGTGGTCTATGGTTGACTTTTTTGATTTTTTTAGAGATTTCTTTTTTTCTACTTTTCTTGACTCCAGTAATCCGCCAAGGCAATGAGCCACACTTTTGACTTTTTTTTTACTTTTGTTTTTCGACTTTTCTTTGACATCTTTTTGACTTTTTTTTTTGACTTTTCAATTTGACTTTTTTTGACTTTGACTTTTCCAGTTGACTTTTTTTTGGGGGGGTGTCTTTGTTTTTTTTTTTTAATCGGCCTTACCATATGAAAGTTTTTTTATAACCATACATCACCAACACCTCCAAAGACTAGCTTTGTAGGCGATCAATTTGCGGGATGACGGAAATCTCTTCCTACTTCAGTGATATTCAGAGTATTTTCCTGGCAAGGAAGAGGCTGAACAGTTTAAGAGGGTACTCGTAGAACCTCGGGGAAGCTTTTTCTTCTGACAAATCCCTACACATGGCGTCGGCATGTCTTTCCAGCATTGGCCACCGCTCGCGTGATGGCTGGGTCACTCCGTTACGCCAGTCAGGAGAGGCCTTCGACTGGGGCATCGTGGACACCGCCAGGCTAGACGGCCAGAGCATAGGACCGGCAGTTCTTCACAGAAGAAGCCACTTGTTTGGTGGATCTTCCTGCCTGTTTTCATCCAAAGGAATTTTGGGGAGGGGCGTTGATCGTTTTGTCGGTCCACATGAGTCCACAGGCCTTTCTACTTCACAAAGCCAGAAAAAGCGGCTGCCTGACTACCTTTGTACCAGCTCAATGCATCTCAGTGCAGCTTGTGGGGTTAGCTCAACACTGCTGCAGCACCCCAGCTTCGACATCTACAGTTACAGAAGCATTTTTGGCAA